TTTTTTTTTTTTTTAAGTAATCTATATTCTTCTCTCGTCTATTTCATCTTTCTTGGTAGTACGCATCTATCTCATCCTCTCACGCTCGGTCTTTATCGTTGTACCCTATAATGACCGGCCGTTCTATTCGGACGAAGACGGAAATATCAACCCTCATATTAATGCGTGACGTCCTCTTACCATCCGACGAGTCATATCGTTCCCTTCGACACCGGTCCTTTTGCAACGCAGTCCCTCCATTTGGCCATACGCGCACTCTACGTCCTTCTCTCCTGGTGTCTGCATCCTGTCGGGCTCTGACAGGCTCTGACAGGATCTGACAGGCTCTGACGGCTGTGACAGGCTCTGACAGACTCTGACAGACTCTGACCGGCTCTGAGTTGCACCGCCAATCTTGATGGAGTCCGCCTGCACGGACCCGCTGGCACTGAGGGCGATCCTTGTCGTGGCGGGGTATCCCGATCGAATCTCCACTGTCTCCCAATTTGTTTGTTTGTTTCTTTGTCTATAATGAATGGAGTCATCGGCGATTCCCTCCCCCGCCCCTCCCTCCCCGCACGGGAAAACTCTTGCTACCCACGCTAAAAAAGACAACACGGTCTGCGTAAGGCCATACTCACATAAGGACTTTCCTGCATGTACCGGACGGCATGCACGACCCGTCCTGTTCGCAGCCCGTCAGGAGTGCGTTTTATACCTCTGACTCAATTTAGTCACCCTTGGTTATACAGGTCGTCAGGGGTGCCTTTTATACCCCTGAGTCAATTTAGTCATCCTTTGTCCCTTCGGGTCCAAACTAAGTTGGAAGGGTGGTGAATTTGCTTGGGGGCAATTCATGGGGAAGGGGCTGTTGTTGCTTGCGGAGGACAGGTAGCTGCCCATAGGAGGCCGCCGTCCTGGAGTTGAATTGACTTACAGTTACGGTGAGGGCACCGGTGGTGAATTTGCTTGGCGGCAATTCATGGGGAAGGGGCAGTTGTTGCTCGCGGAGGACAGGTAGCTGTCCGTAATCATGCGGAGGCTGGGGTCCTGGAGTTGAATTGACTTACCGTTACGGTGAGGGCACGGGTGCGTGCGCAGCCCTTAGTTTGTATGTGTGTGAGTGATAAACCAGGTTTCATTCTCCAGTTCAAAAGCAGGATGTGTGTGTGGGGAGAGAGAGAGAGAGAGAGAGAGCTGCCAGCAGGGACCAGCGCACGGTGGGCCGCGCGCACGTGTTTGTTTGTTTGTTTGTTTGTTTTTTTTTTTTTTTTTTTTTTTTTTTTTTGTTTTTTTGTGTGTGTGTGTGTGTGTGTGTGTGTGTTCGCAGCCCGTCAGGGTTGCGTTTTCCCCCCTGAGACATTTCAACGTCAATCAAATTTCAACGTCGGTGGTCGTCGGGAGGGTGGCCATTTTGAGGTTTTGGGGCCTTACAAGGGCCAGGACCGCGTAGGACCGGTAGCTGCGTGTAGGAGGCCGAGGAGGCTGCGGTCCTTTTTCGAAATTGAAACGGTGCAGGTCCACTTTTCTTGAATAGCAGACTTCCTCGAATAGAAAACGTACGTACACGTTGTATTCGAATACAACCTGTACCTTCTATTTGGATTTCGAAAAGAAAAAAATGTTGTATTCCGATAAAATTACTTCTTCTTTTTGTTGGAGGTCAGCACCTGCCCTTGTGCTCCCTGCCACTGACATGCTGCATGCTGCAGCTCTCTCTCTCTCTCTCTCTCTCTCTCTCTCTCTCTCTCTCTCTCTCTC